AAAGGAGGGTCCCCTGGAGAGGGGACACCAAGGCTAGCAGGGTCTGGTCTTGGCTTAAGGGGCCCAGCTGCTGAGTGCAGGGGGCCAAGCGCAAACCCCCCCACGTGCACAGTCAGGTCCCTGAGACAGTTGGACCAGAGAGGATGGTCTAAGCAGGATCACCACGGGGGCTGCCACTTACGCCTAGGGTCTGGGATTCCTTTCTTCAAGAAGTACTTACTGGACCTGTGTGCCAAAGTGCTGTCCTTGGTCATCCTATGACCGTCCTCTGTCACAGTGATGAACTTGGGTCGGCCCCTGGCGATTTCGGGGAATGTTTACTAGGTGGAAGGAGCCTCCAGAGCAGAGTCTCAGAGGCCGAAAATGCATTGAGTGTGGCCCCTTGGGGAGTGGTAGGAAAGGAGGCTGGGAAGTCCAAGTTCAGAGGTAGGGGCTGCCTAAATCGTAGTGTCCTTTGAGGTCTGGCTCACACACCGTCTCCATGAAGGCTGCTTGATTCTCCCAGGCCTTGGGACTTCTCTGTCATGCCGTGTTCTCTGCCTTGTGGCAGGACGGTGGGTGCCTGTGGCCCCCTGGGTGTGGAGACTGGGTAATGATGCTCATCTGGGTCAAGGAACCTCCCCACTTCCTTGCTGTGTGTCTGGCCCAGTGCTTGGTCTATGGACATAGGAATCTGGGTGACGTTGCAGGACCTCGGTAAGGCAGCTGCCTTTGCCTGGTCTCATGTTAGGTGTCCTTCCACTGGGGTGGAGGAGCCCACTAACCCCTTAATCCTCACCGGGTCTTATTTTTGTCCCCACCTTATAAATGATGAAATTAAAGTTCAGAGAGGTGAAGCAACTTGACCGAAGTCACATGGCTAGTAAATAGCCCCGTCAGGATTTGAACCTTGGTCTGTGTGGCCCAAAGCCTGGGATCATCCCCCGGAGATGCTGTTCTGGGAAGATGGGCCGCGAAAGGGGCTTGGCATGGGGCCAGCCCACAGGAGGGTGATTCCCAAGGGTTGATTTTCTTTTCCTCTCCCTCAACAGCCACGGTGCAGGGGTGGGTCACAGCAGGCCCAGGCTAATTCACCAACCATCTGGTACTTTCTTGTGTTTGACGAATATTTCTTGAGCTCCTACTATGTGCCAGGCACTATTCTAGGCAGTGAGGATTCAGTGAAGAAAAAAGAACTCCCTGTATACACTCAGCAGAAAGACAGACAATAGAGAAGTAGAATATACAGGGTGTTGGGAGATGAAAAGTGCTGTGGAGAGAACATAGCAAAACAGGATAGGTCTGGGGGGCTATGAACGAGGGGAGAGAAAATATTGCAATTAAAAAATTTTTTTTTAACATTCATTTTTTTTTTTTTTT